TTCGCGGAGGACTCCGCGACTCTTTGAAGGCACGGTCACCGTCTGGGAGAAGGTGCAAGCTTTTGAAAGCAGCGCATGCGACGGTGCCGACGACGCTTGGCGTGCAAGAAGATTCATAATGGATCATAGTTCACTTGATATTTGTAAACATAATTAGGATTTTTATTAGGAATAGGCCCGATAGGACAAACATAAATACAGAACAAAATTTACACTCAAGCACACAGAGCGACGTCCGGCTTCAAGATAAGCGTCTGGTCAAGATTGTTTGAGTGTTGGTGAACTCGAAGCTCTGTAGCGAGGGTTCATCCGGCAAGGCCAAGAGACTGTGTGTGTATTGATCGATTACTATCGGGAGGCTTACGTGCCGGCTTTTTGCTGCATATTTGCACGACAGGGAGGGCTTGTATTGCATCCCTTTTAGTCTTCCAATCGAGTGTTGAGCACTGGTGCCCTCGTAAAAACCTTACCCGTGCCCGGTACATTTCCGCTGTTGGGACCACGAGGATTCATACCACCTATTAGTTTTGCTCGTGCTCTTAATTTTACTGGTTGGCCTATAGAAGTAGTTTACAAGGTCCAGTCTGTCCCGGTGCAAGGGCAGAACTGGGTGTTTCAGGTCCACCCGAACGATCGTTTGCTATCCTAGCAGACATATTGTTGTTGGAGCTTCCTAACTACATTTGTAGCGAGCGTTCACGTGGGATTTCCAACACCACATATTTTCTTGAAGTAGTAGGCGAATTAGACGGATTTCGAGGATATCCTCGAGCACGGAAAGGAGCTTGTCGCGATGAGCTGTGTCGATTTCACGCGATATATCAATCCCGAGTATGTGAAAGTTTTCGTGATAGCGTTGAGCGCGCGCTGCTATCTACTGGTGGGCCCATAATGCATCGGCCGTACTGCGACTGGGCCGAAATCTGCTCTCGTGTGGAGAGAGAAAAGCTGCGACCTTCGGTGTAATGCGCTGGAGCACAGCGAGCGAGATAGCTTTACAAATGATGTTTAGTAGCACGATGGGTCGAAGACTAGTACATTGACCAAGTGGTTTATGAGGCTTCGGAAGGCCTATTTGTATTCCTTTTCCAAGGTGGAAATGGTCTCCATATTGGAATCCGTGGCTGGTGATGACGGCGAGGGGTGCAGCCAAGACGGCTGCGCCATACATTAGAAGCTCTGGTAGTATTGCATTTGGTCCTACTGTTTGTCCATTCCGAAGACGTTTGAAGCCGAGTTTCAGTTCGTCTGCAGTGGCTGGCGTGTGGAGAGGTCTTAAGACTCTGTCGGGCTCGACTAATGTTTGGGACGGGTCTGCAAATTGTTCTTGAGAGTGATGCTTGATCTTGTAGCTGGCTGCTTCTTGTTGAGCATAAATTTACCTGTTGAGTCGTGTAACGAAGCTAGTGGTGTACGTTTCCGGAGGAGCCCACGGGTCGCCTTGAACATTTTCGCAGAGTCGCGAGACTGTTCGATGCGACTCACGTGTTCGTCGATGAAGACGTTAGAAAGCTGTTTGCAACGTGCTCGGATGCGATGAAGTAGCAAGCTGCGCTGCGTATGAAAGTGCTTGATGTCCTTTAAACGATCATTATTGACGACGCTGTTCTTCTGTCATACTAGCGAGCTCAGGGTCTGCAATGCGGGCGTTTTGTACAAATAGCATGTAACTAACAGTGGCTTCCACCGCGCGTAGAGCGTCATGTAGCGTGGAGCTCCAGTAAGACTGATTGGACTCTGTCGGACGTGGCAGCTGCTCGCTCAAAGACTTTGCGTGGAGCTGTACATATTGCTCGCGGAGATGTTTGCCGTGCACTAGGCGATGAGTTGCTAGTCGTGCTGTCCTCTCAGCCGCATGTGTCACTGCATTTTTGGAGCGGAGCTGGTTGAGCCTAAAGTCGAGGGTTACCAACTTGAGGTCGGTTGGTGTCTTTGCACCGCCCCATGATTGCGCGTTGCGACGTAATGACCGGTACCACTGACAGGAAGGAACGAAGTCAATCTGGTTGATGATGCTGTAGTTTGTGTGCCGTAGTGTCCAAGTTGTGATGTTGCGGGCGCGCTTCTGAAATGCTGTGTTTGTGGCAAAAACACTGTTAGTGTTGTAAAAGGAAGCAATGGCGTGGTCGTTGCGGTTGCGCTAGCCACGGCCCAGTTACGCATGAAAGCTTTGTTATCCCGGCGACGGTCGAGTTTGGCATTAAAATCGCCGAGGATGAACGTGGTGTCTCGTCGTGGGAGACGTTCAATGGCCGCATGTAGGCCCGCGTAGAATATTGCCACGTACTGTAGGTCCCAGTCGCTGTGAGGTGAGTAGACAGTGATAAACAGCGACCAAATGTTCCACCTTCCCTGACATTAATTCGTTGGCCTTACGGAAGGCATGGCTGGAGCACACCTACACGATTGGACTGAACCCAATATTTGTACAAGTATCTGCAGAGATGTGGACTTATGGCGAAACCGATATAGTGGTGGTCGTTACTTGACGCCAAGTTCAGAAGATGGAACTAACCGATTCGCTGCTCACTCTGGTAGTTAATTCGTGTCTCTTAAAGGCCGACGATATTAATCTTGTATCGTTCCAGGTCGCTGGGAAGCGTCTCATGTTGATTGCGGTGTGAAGCAATGGAGTTAACATTAATCCGACCAGGATCTAATTGCAGTATTTCTAATTTTTCGAAATAACCCAATAAACCCAAATCTATGGGTGGGTGGGTCGTTTCATAAGCCCAAAACTTCAAAAATTCCAAGTCCTGTGGCCATTAAACTGCTAAAATGGCAGACCTCGACGATGGTAGCTCTACGGATAGCGAAAGCTACGAAATTTGTCGAGTACAGCATCCAACCGTTGATGTGCCCGTGGGACGCGCATCACCCATCCCAGTGTTACGAGGAATTAATATTCTCGACTTGCAGTCGGTTTTACTCACTCGTCCTGCGCCAATCGCTCCACCGCCGAGTGAAACGACCACAGACAGCTTTGTGATCCCTCGACGGAAACCTACCAGCACTTTACAAATACCTAGATGTGACTCTACCAATGACCAACCACGACCTGCACCTCTCCATACATTTTATCGCCAATGCCGGCATACTCTCACCCACCCGGAAGTTGAGCGAGCCAAGAAGCAGGTGGAGAAATTCAGCTGCACGTGCTGCGAGCGGAAGGAAATGGACGCCTCAAATTTCTCGAAAGCCCAGCGAAAGGAGAACAAGGCGCTGACGAGGAAGTGCCGCGACTGCACGTACGAGAAGCCCTTCTCGAGTGCCGAGAGACGACAGAGTCGAGAACGTCGAAATCAAGATACGAACATTTCGGTGCAGGAGAGCAGATCGACGAAGAGACGCTTTGACCTGATGCAGCAAGAACCGCAGCAAGTCTCAGCAGCTGCTAGAATTCCATGGGAAAGGAGACTGCAGCAGATTCGAGAGGCGCAGAGGGCGGGCCACAACAGCGGCGTTCCGCTTACGCGACAGCCAGAACTACAAAGCGGTGGCTGGACACGACAGGAAAGTCGTCCTAGAGAGCCACGGCAGGCGCTGGGGCGGCGGGAGCGATTGACGCCAGCGCAGAAGAAGCAAATTAAGCGACAGAAAAGAATGGAGGAGATGGCCGAAATCGACCGGAACCCGCCACCGCCAAGGACGATGCGACAGCCGCGAGTTGCTGCGCAGAAAGCTCAAAGCGATTGGCGTAGTGACCCTCGAATGAAGGACGGTGTTTACGCTAGCACGCACCAGCGACTGCAAGAGCACAAGTCGTGACGCGCACGTATGCTAGAGGAGAAAATGGTCCTCGTAACGGCTTGTTAGACTACTCAAGTAGTTACTAGCTCCCATTGTGTGGACTAACGATCATGTTGCTCTTAACTCGTTCAAAAAGACGATAAGTGGCGCTGCCAACTCGGCCGTATTTTTATTAACTGGTGCCATTACGTTTCACACTGATAATCCTGCTAGTGCTACGGTCACGTAGTACGAACAGCCCAATTCAGTGTGCTCCTTAATTATTTAATGCACACAAGAATGAAATGAACGGCCTTATAAAACCATCATTTCGAATCGATGACTCGTGGCTTACTAACCCAGGCAGGTAAAATCACCGAGATTAAATTTAATTTAGCAGGTTTTTTAACGGCTATTCTAGTTGAACTTTTAAACTACTTTATTTTTTTAAAAGGAGTACTGTAGTATGAAAGTTTAACTAAAATATGAAAAATGGATCTGGTATTTCGGTGTTAAAATATTAAATAAAGGAGCACATTAGCGCATTGTTTCGTCTGACCGTTACATCTTGCCCAGTGAGAGAGCGGAGAAGGTCGGGGCCGCGGCGCGGAGTACAAATCCAAAAAAAGTTTTTTAATACCGGAGCTATCGCAGCGAAGCGGAGGTCGGCGACTAGGGAGCACCGATGAAGCAGGAGCGGCTTGGCGATCAGCGGCGATATCTACTGAGATAAGATGTTTGTTATTGACAAAGTACTGATACATGTAGCGCAGGCAACCGATCTTAGCGTCGCACCAGTGATAGAAGTCAAATTTACCAAAAGCGTCATATATCTAAATAGCTTTTGTAAATTTCAATAGGTGCGCTACCAGTTCAACTCTAGTTTTCTTGCTTTGCTTCTCAATTGACTGTGACGTTTCACAGCTAACTTTTCTAGGAAGTCTTTGAGATACTACGTAGTACTACTTATTAGCAGTACTACATAGTATGGACAAAACACCATTTACTACAGTAAGTACTTTTGTAGTGCTGTACAGTACAAACGACTGTGTCGTATTGTCACCATCCTCACGTTATCAACGATCTTGACTGAGAGTGAAAACAGGAGTGTCAGCAAAACAGTTTCAGTTATTAATTATCAAAAATTAGTGGGTAAGAGCGCAGGAATACATGTAACTTAGCGCGTCTTATTGTGGGTTCACCAGCACTTAGCCAGCTTAGACTACCATTGCGTTGTGGTCGGAGCTGCTCATACATGTACGTCAGCTCGTTTATTGGCCCTTCGTGACAGAGTTGATCCACTCGGTAGCGGTCGAGACACGAGAGTAGACGGTGGGCGATCCTGCGTCACCGCAACCATAGCCCCAGTTGACCAGGCCAATAAGGATGTCGTCCAAATCTCCCAGACCGTTCTCCTTAATCAGTGGACCGCCAGTGTCAGCCACACAAGCGTCCTTGCCAGGAAGACCACCAGCGCACACGCTGGTGTCACCGATATTGAATACTTGCGAGCACTCATCGTTGGCCCACACTTCAAGACTTACACCCTGTAGCTCGTACGAGAGGGAGCCGTTGGGGTAGCTAGTGACACCCCAGCCCATGGCCTTCGACCACATACCGGGCTTAATGTCCGAGTCGTCCGCTTTTGGTAGTTTGACAGGAATGAATTTGCTCGGCTTCTCAAGAGTCAGCAGCGCGAAGTCGTAAGTACCGCTGGAGAAGTTGAGAGACGTGTGGTTCTGGGCTGACACGACCTTGATCTGCTCGCCGTCCTGCGTGCCGTTGAGGTAGTGCGTGCCCACCGACACGAACTTTGGCTCCTTGTAGCCTGTGCAAATCGACGTGGTAAGTACGTGCGTGGGCGAGATCAAAGAACCACCGCAGTAGGTGTCACCGTCGGCAGAGGTACGGATGCCAGCGGTGTATGTCTTCGTGCCGCTCGGAATAATTCCTCCTCCGAAAATCAGCTGGCGCGAGGTATGGTCAGCATTGGGAGCTCCGAAGGCGGTCGTCGCAGCAGCAATCGTGGAGATGAGTTTCATCTTTCCTTGGTTCGGTTAAGCTTGGAATGCTTTGAGCAGTAGGAGGTGAAATCTAAAGTGAGTTCCGTGTCCATGAAGTTAGCACAACGTCCAATCGGATTACGCACGTGACTTGGCAAAACCAGAAGGATGTGGAACTACGAAAGTACAGTTTCCTACGATACATGTACATGTATCTGTTGATACTACATGTACTTCTATCAACTTGATAGGCACAAAACTCACAGAATGGAATGCACTGTGCGTTCTTAAGCAAAATCTTCGGATGGATTTGAAAACGTGTGGATCCCTCCTGCTTTCCGTACACATGCAGAATTTGCCATCATCGTTCACGAGCCCGGGCAATTCCTGAGCAGGTGAACAAGACATATGGAGCTTTACGACACGGTGAAAAGTCAGTATAAGTTCCAGTACTGAGATATTTTTTTAAGGAACATGGTACAGTACTGTAGTGCCGGAAAAAGCACCCTCGAGAAAAAAATATTCCCGTCTTTTACATCCCCGAGTAATGGGCTACAGGGAAGTCGGCACCCCGGATTCCCAACTACACGTACGAATGAATGGATAATCTCCTCGGAAAGCGAAAGCTCTGACCTAGCTTCGGCTTGTGTCTAATTACACCTGACTCTAGAGGTGGCCTGAAAATAGAGGAGGCGATAATGCAATTTGAGGAACTTCTGTAATAAATTCTCACGTAGCCAATTTCGCAAGAAAAAAGCTGCTTGTCGAGAGGTTTGGCTAACATCGTGACCTCCATTGACAAATACGATTTAGCACAGCTTCCGCAGCAATATTTACCGAAGGAGATACGTAACAGTCGTGCTCCCAGTGCACTTTGTCCTTATAAACGCTAGACTGGCTCCTCTGGAGATAGTGTGCTCCCAGAAATGTAACTAAAAGGATATTATATCATTTTAGTTCCGGTAACACATTTGGAAATCTTAGAAATACTTGCGGTAACTTTAGAACTAGTGCTTTTAGCTGACGGCACTACCAAATCTCCAGAAATACGGCCTGCACCAAGGACGGCATTTAATGCAGATTGCAGCTGTAATGGGCATATTTTAAGCCCACTACTTCGCTTTACACGTTAGCGCACGTGTATGAGCACGCGTAAGTTGCGTTTCACTTAGATTAACTAAAGTTTCGTCCGAAAGTATAGATTTAGTTCTATAGGAAAGCAAAGCCGATTTCCAGTAAAATGAGAACTGTTTATTTGTTTGTTTGGGTTTTCCTCCTTCTAAACGAAGTGTATTTATCACCGAATAGTGAACATAATCATATTAATCTAATGGGTTGAAGATATTGACTTTCAACCAATGAATGCCCTAAATGCACAGACCAACAGTCTGCCAACGTAATCATATCTCACACCAATGTAGAAAACCTATTTCGTAACCGAGTGGCTATGTGTAGAGACTTGCGTGTAACCCCGTTACACCACCACCCCCGTTAAGCTAAGTCTCTCTAGTCTTAGCACATCATTTAAACCATTGACGAGCCCGTCAAAACGTTTAAAAAAACCGAGTTCATTTTGCAATGAGCTCGCCGAGAAAGCCACCCGCACAAGAGTCAGCTCCGACAGACTCTGTTTCGTCTGCCTGCTCCTGAAGGCACCACCACTTCAGTGCCCGCGCAACCAAACACGCCCGCGACAGAAGGTAATCTTTCTGTTACTCAATACCACTCTATGTTTAAGCAAAAGCGCGCACAAGCTACGACTGACAAACCGTCAGTCGTCATGGAGGGCTCGTCAGCTATGTCTACTGATGGAGACATACCCATTGACCATGGGTCTGACATTGAAGACGTCCCCATGGAAGACGAGGACACCTCGTCTTCCGCTGTTGACTCTAAGTCGACCGAACCAGCGCCCGATCCTCCTGTTGGGTCGCGGCGTGGCAGTGACGATGAATCGAAGCGTCCGCGTAATGAAGATGAGGTGCAGCCAACTGTGCCGGTGCCGCCTTCTTCTCCGCGTAGCGCACCTGTAGTACGCGCTCCCTGGATGCCAACTGCATCCGAGATCGCTGACAGGTGCGGCTCGACATCACCGCCGAACCCGATGTGTGCAGCGCCATCAATGATGACACTGAGGCCGTCGACATGCACTTTGATCCGTTAACGAATCCAAGGCGCGACTACTACATCGGACGCTTCCATGGGCTCCGATAGAATGCGTCGAAGAAAACTTCGCGCAAAAGCAAAGCCAGAGTGTGTGACACTTTGTCAATCTCGAAGCGGACTTGCTGTGACCTTCAACAACAATGCGAAAGGCTACAGCGAGCGTATTGCCTTGGCTCATCAGGGCTTCGAAACCTTCTCGAAGCGTCATCTCATCGATCGCCTCCATACTGACGCTATAGAAGCGGGAATCCCTTGCGCGGCTGCACCTGAAGCTGCGTGTTCGCAATGCCGCTTCGGGGTGCGCCTTTCTGCACGCGATATTCTCGGGGTACACCTCCGTGCGTGTACCCGCTCCACTGCGAGACCTCCGTGCTGAATTTGAGCACCGTGATTTACTCCGTGCTGGTGCCACTCGCCGTTTTAGTGCATGCATTATGACTGCACTCGGTTCTGGGCCTCGTACACCCTCACTAATTTAGAAACATCCTTCACCAGGACGTCTCGTGGCTCCCATGTATCTCGATGGGAAAAAAATCCTCCCCAACGAATACGAAGACGAGCTTGATCTCGGTTCGTCTTCAGGGCTTCACAGTCCACGACCCGCTCGACAATCCAACGTGTCGAGCCGTGCGCATCACGCAGCGGCGGTGGCATAAATATACCCTCCGTATGGTCAACCTGGGGTTGACCATGGCTCTCGCGCTCTGCACGATTGTGGCGTCGCTCTGGAACAATCCCAGAGCACAGAGCTCGCTGCCCTGCAACGAAAGGTGCGCCGGCAGAAGGCGCAGCTCGCTGCGGTTGATCATACCGCTTCACGGAGCTGAGGCGCCTGCGCGACCGCGTCGTCGCGCTCGAGAAGCTGACTCGCGCCGCTTCGTCGTTTTCGAGCCATCAAGACTAGATGGCTCGTGGTGACAATCTTCAGCCGCTCGACATAAACTGTCGGATGAAATCGCATGCTGGACGGTTTGTCCAATGTATACGCGTTGCCATGCCGTCCAAGCACTGTGGACGGGTCGATGAAGCGTGAAGGAGGCTTGCTTGCACCGAAGTCAGAGACTGCATGTCGTGGTAGGCTCTGTGTAGCTAATATAACTAATTAACCCTCTTAAAATTCATTTGTGTTCCTCTACCGATATGGTCTGCGTTCCGCTTCTATCTGTCTGCAAAAGCTGCTATTGCGTCCTGGACAAACCGTATTACGGCTTGTCGGCGCTGGGCAAAGTCCAGTGATTGCGTGCTGAATGACCTGTTCAGCACGGCTTCCTTCTCCGCAGCAGGCCCGGTCTGCGTGTGTCCGTACCCGGCACAGACGTCTTCTTGTTCGCGGTGCCTGTACCCCGCACAGTCACGGTTCTCCTTGTCCTCGCCTTGTTCCCGGAACGAGACGCTTATCATCGCGTCGCCACCGCTGATACTACGTCGGTATCAGTGTACTTCTGCGGTTATTTCGCTGCAGCTGTAGCTCCTCCCCCACTAAAGGAGGAACCCACCGTTCCGAGCAAGCTCGGGAGGCGTGGATGCCACATGGCATTCATGTAAAACGGCGGGTGGCCTGTCGAGGCATGCACCGAGCTGTTGATGACAAACGCTTTCATCGGCAAGCAATCGCCCCACTGCGGGAACGGGTGTGCGTAGCTCTTCCGTACGTCACCGAGCATGCGATTCACGCGCTCGGTCTGCCCGTCCGTCTGCAGATGATCCGCAGTCGACATCGACACCTGTGTTCCAAGAAGTGTTTACACTTCTTGCCAGAACCGCGCTGTAAAGCGTGGATCACGGTTCGACACAGTGGCAAGCGGCATTCCATGGTGTCGGAACACCATGTCAACAAACTGTCGTGCAGTCCGGTACTGCAGCAAGATGAACTATCTTGCGGAATCGATCAACCAAGATCACAGCGCCAGTCCTCGGCTTCTCGTCTGGAGGAAGACCGAAAAAAAGTCCATATAAATGCACTACGAATACGCGGCAGGCTTCACGCGTTGGAACACTTCGCAAGCACGTACGTACGTACTTGCGCACCCACTTGGACTGGTAGTTCCAGTATACGTCCCTCGTGAGAAGTGTGTATGTCTTCTTACGGTCCGAATGCCCTGTCGTAGGGGCGTCCTGATACTCGTATATGATCCGCATATGCTGATCATTGTTATTCGGCACGACGATGCGATCCGCATCATCGTCCACTGCGCTGTAAAGCAGCCGTTATTCGTGCTCACGATATTGGTGTGCACGAGCTCGCAGATGGGGCGATAACTTCCGCCGTGACACGTCGGAAGGTGCTAAGACATAGTCTGGCAGTTGCTTCGCGTATTCGTCCATCGCATACGCGTTCTTTATGTATGTCGGCCACGGAACACTTACTCGTTCGACGCCAATTTGATTGGCGTCGGCTGCCTTAGCGACGTAATCAGGTCGACGCGACAGCGCGTCGACCACCACATTCAACCTTCCAGGTTTGTACTCAGCCTGGAAGTCGTACTCCGCAAAGAGGGATAACCATCTCACCATTCGCTGCGAGATATGCGGAGGCTTCACTGCGAACGGCAGTGAAGCGTGGTCGGTGTAGACCACGAGCGGTCTACTCCCAAGTAAATACACTCGGAGCTTTGTGAGTGCATATTACATGGCATGGAGCTCCTTGTCGTGTACTGGGTAGCTACGCTCAGCTGGCTTCGGCTGACGCGACAGGTAATAGACCACACCATCACGGCCCTCGAGATCGTGCTGTATCAACGCGCATCCGATCGCAACATCGGACGCGTCGCACACGATGTGGAATAGGCGATCGCGGTCAGCCAATGCCAAGATCGGCGCCTCAGTCAAGCCCTGTTTGACGGTACCGAAGACCTTCTGACACTCCAGTCCAA